AGAGCATGACATTTAAACAGATAAGAAAATAGTGAGAACCCACATACATTTGCTTAAATTGTGAGATTATGTTTCATACAACCTGCTGTTTGGGTTTGATGAGGCCATGTTGATCCATCGTGTTCAGAAGCTATGTAAGGCTTTAGTTTAAAATGTTGAATGAATGGTTGAAATTTTCATTTGAATCTCAATTTGAGATTCTGGCTGCTGTTTTTATAAAGAAAAGTGAGCAGTAGGAAGAGAAAACAAAAGAAGATGTATAAAGCTTTAAGCTTTCCATGAAGTTTTTAGCTCTGGTGTGGTTCCAGAACATTACAGAGTACTGTCATACACTGTGTGGAAAAAAGTATGTGGACACCTGACTATAACACTCACATGCTTCTTGAATATCCCATTCCAGATTTAGTCTACCTTTGCATTAGTGAGGTTAGGCACTGATGTCAGGCGAGGAGGCCTGGTGCACAGTGAGCATTCCAGTTCATCCCAAAGGTGTTCAGTGGGATTGAGGTCAGGGCTCTGGGCAGATCACTCGGGTTATTCCACTCTAACTTTGGCAAACCATGTATTCATGGAGCTCGCTGTGTGCACAGGGGCATTGTCATGCTGGAACAGGTTTGGGCCCCTTAGTTCCAGTGAAGGGAAATTGTAATGTTACAGCATACAGAGACATCCTATACAATTGTGTGCTTCCAACTTTGTGGCAACAGTTTGGTGAAGATCCACATATGGGCGTGATAGTCAGGTGTCCACATTCATTTGGCTATATAGTGTAACAAGGTGCACAGTAAGACCCTAAACCAAACTCACCACATCTGAAAGGCTGCCCATATGAACAACATAATGGAAGATCAAGAATTGGGGATGAAAAGGGATAAGAATGGGTAGAGCACTACATAGAGACTGTGTCTGAGTCACCTAATGGATCCACTTCTATTATTCAGATGGGAAATACATCCTTCTCTCTCATCAGCAATTAGATTTATGGTAAAAATATTTTTACTAGCTTTTGATTTGAAGGTGTAACATAATGTCATGCGAATTCTAAGAGTCCTGCAGGAACTGGTCCTAACAAAGGCCACAGTGATTATGGGCACAGGTAAAGCAGTAAAACAGAGATGTACTTGGGTAAAGTTATTATAGGGGTCACATGCCTAATTATATATGTAATATATATAATATATGCACCTTATATATATATATATATATAATATATGCACCATATATATATATATATATGTAATATATATATATATATATATGTAATATAGATATAACCATGTTAACATGGTTAGCCTGTAATATTAACTACACAGTTCATATCATATTGTCTTAAATATCATATGATCTCATATTAGCTTTTTTAAACATTAAAAAAAAAAGATTAAAATTGATATGACTTCAGCAGCACCACTGGCGCACACACACAAGATGCAGTGACCTAAGAAACTAGGATAAAACCTAGTCAATGGAGAAAATGGATTAATCTGCCAAACTGCCAGAGATTCATGGCCACACTGTGTCATTTTTTATCAATCCACGCCATCTTCACATTGTATCTTTGTATAACAGTGAACTGTTAGCTCATTATGCATGCTTTCTGTGGCATGACAATATGCCCTCTTTGTACTTACATTAAGCAAATTATTTATTATCACAGACCTCCTTTGTCACATATTTGTGACTCCATCTTTTCCTTGGATCTTCATACAATTCAACTGAGTGTCTCTCATTAGCTAATGAGAAGAAAATACGTCTTCCATTACTGAAAACACGATCATCATCTAAATGTGTTATGTCAGTAATTTTGACAAATGCTATCAAATCAGTAGTGCATTTGATAATCAGTAGGTGCATAAATGTGATTACATGCATAAACAGGATTCCCTTCAGTTTCTGTGTGTGATACTGTTAAAATGTGTAACTATGAGATCAAATAGGAATAAGGAATAAGGATAATGATGGTATCAATTGTTTTTGTTTGTTTGTTTTTGCTTTTGGTGATAAGGATGCAGTCTGTCACATTCTAAACTGTGGTTTAAAAAAAAATTTTTTTAAAAACCAGCAGGGCCAAAAACACATAGTTGACATAGGTTACATAGTTAAATCTAGATGTGATCACAGGTCATAGGTTACATAGTTAAATCTAGATGTGATCACAGGTCATAGGCGCATAGTTAAATTTAGATGTTATGCAAGAGTACATGTTTTCACTGTTAGGTAGGTTAGTATACTATATATTATTTTGGCCATGTTTTTGAAATAGTAATTTGCAGTTTCATGGGACTCAAAAGACTACCAACAAGAAGCTCTTTGGGACATGTTTTTGGGACACAAGAGCATAAACAAGGTGAGAGCTTGGTGCATTGGATCTTCGTGACCACTGGTGCAGGTGGCAAGTGGTAAAAAATGGCCAGGGAACATTAATTAGATGAATACTTTAAGAGGTGTGGTTAAGTATGCTGCTCCTATATATGAGCTCCTCTCATTCTCTGAGAGGGTACACAGTGCAGCATAGTGATCTTTTTATAAAGACCTACCTTTAACTTTATATACATTTTAGTGTTATAAATAACCTTTAGATTTTATGTTAATATTTTAGTGTTAGTGTCACCCAAGAGAGAGAGCGTGAAAATGCAGCAAAAATCCAGGAGAGACAATCTGACCTGAGGAGAAGTGCCTATAACGATGTTTGTATTCTAACAGCATTGATATTGCTGACTATTATGTAAATACAGTAATGTTATTTTAGATTTATAATGGCTTTTTATTTATTTATGTGGGGCAAAACACTTATATGCATGTAAAATGCAGCAGGATAGATGGATGCACATTTAAATAGAAGTGGGTATCTGACTAAAACATGCTTCATAAACGATTTTGGTATGAACTGTCCTTTAGCAGGGACAACTGTCTAGTTTTTTTTATTTGTTTTTCAGTTTATTTGTTAATTATTAAATAATTAAGTCTGTTGTATTTATTTCATATTTGGATAAAATAGCCTATTTTTGTTGAAGTGGGGTGATATAAAGAGTGAACATCCACATGACCAAGTAGTGAGAAATGAGACAGGGGTTTACAATGCTGCGCTTGAAGTCAGGAAAATACCATTTTATCCTGCTGATGCTACTTTAACCTCCCATTCAAAAAACCACAATTCCCCCTCTTGGTGTTGCAATGTAGTCAGCAAAGGCTAGGGACTTTCAGTGACTGTATTTCAGAAAAATCTAGTACCCAACATGTATAACTCTGTTTTTATATTTAGGAGTAGGACATTTTTACTAGTTGTAGTGCATTCTTCCCTTTTGTGTAGCTGTGCTGCTCAGAGTGGATGAAATGTGTATCATCAGCATAGAAGTGAAAGCCAACATTATGTTTGAAAATGGCAAGTCAAGGGGCCAGAACCACGAGACACCATATGGCAAAGCAATAGACAAGTAGTTTAGACAGTATTGAGTCCAGAACATTTGCAACTGGTGCTTTCTGGCACAGGGGAAGCACGGTGGTTGATTATAGCTAATAGCAAGAATTTGTTTAATACTCTGACCTTTCCTGTGGTTTTTAGTACTTTTATAATATATTCTACATCCTTTGTAGAAAGTGATCTGTCATACTAGTGTGGAGTCTTTTCAAGTGATTTGAGAAGCAATGTTAGTCAAATAACCAACAAATAATCTCAAAAAAAAGAAAAAGACACACAACCTGCTTAATGCAAGCAATTAGCAATTAGCAAACCAGTTTTACCACCAAGGATTTGGTTGTCAGCAGGCCAGCAATAATCAACACAAATCAGATTGGACCATCACCAAATTTCTTTCTAGCTCTTCTTCTAGCAGGGTTTCCCAATTCAGTTTGGTTATTACCTGGACAAACACACTAATCAGTTAATTACCAAAGTTAGGTGTTCTTGGATTTGAAACCTCCCCAAATCTGAGTAATCATTGCTGCTAAGGTCTTGAGTAATTTAGAAATCATAAATGTCCTGCTATTTGTTACTTTGGTTTACAAAAAAAAAAAAAAAGAATCTAAAATTCTTCTTATTGCTGTCTGTCAAGCTTGAAAAATAAGCAACTCATGAGCCTGAAGATAATTAATGAGAGGTGCTTTCCATGCTTTTACAGGAAGCCTCAAGCCTGTTGTAACCCGCTGCACCAAGTACTGCAGACACGATGGGTTCTGAATATGGACCAGCTTTTCAGAAGTTCAGGTTCGCCTACGGAGAATAAGGAGCTCAACAACAACAATGAATCACTCAGACACGGTAAGATGTTCAACTCAGTGTTATTTGTCAAAAGTAAACGTTTGACTTAGCAACTGAAATGCACCAAATCAGAGGAATGAGGAAAAGTAAATAAATAAATAAATAAAAAGCACTGGGTAACTTTCTCAAACAAAGAAAAGGAAAAAACTATTTCAGTGCAAGTTGTTTTGACAATAACTCTTTCTTTTTTTGCTTTATAGATTTCAAGGACTTCAGATGAAACTCAGGAAAACTCAAATGGGAATTACAATCACCCTTCCACCACAAACTTCACATCAGTTAATGAAGTTAACCTTTTGTTTGCTCCGTTTGAGGTATCGCTAACTTATTTCTTTGTTCACTTTGGAGAAAAATAAAATAAATAAAATAAAATGAGAGTTGTATCCTTTGTTCACATTTATATATATATATATATATATATATATATATATATATATATATATATATATATATATATAATTAAATAAAAAATTAAACCTGCATCAATAACTCAGTGTTCAACTTTCTGAGTGAAAGCTTGATTCCAGAAAATTATAAAACTCAACCGTTATTTAATATATTTTTCTTGAATTTTAAGGAATACCTTTCCCTTTCTTGTCTCAAATTTGAAAAAAATGAAAAAAAAATGGGAAAACAAATACTCTTGATCAAATTAGAAGAAAAACACAATTAGGAAGAAACCCAAATAAACCTGAATAAATCAAAGCTAAATTTTCAAGAGTCTTGTAATGCAGTACTTCGGTCCCTGGTGGACTAGTGGCTAGGCTACAGCTCTCTCACTGCTGCGGCCCGGGTTTGATTCCTGGCCAGGGAACCAACCCCAGCCACTGTACTCTCAGTGCCGGTCCCAAGCCCGGCACTGTAAGTGTAAAAACTGTGCCAAACCAAATATGCGACCCCTAACGGGAGCAGCCGAAAGAGGAACGAACTTGTAATTCAGTACTTGATGTTCATTCACAACCTTAAGGACAATGAAACTGCACTGTCACTCAGTCTCTCCTATTAGATCGTTCCTACAGAGAACAGTGAAACGCGCTGTTTGTGAAAAGTTCACTTTTCCTACCGTCCAGTTGGGCAACAGCAATGTAAATGTCACTCAGTAGCACTTGTTGAGAACTCTGTGTGGCTCGCCAGTCCTCACTCCCTCCACGGGAATCCAGAAACTCCATTCCGTGAGGTATCGATCTCCATACAGCGTCAACTTAGAGCTTGCAGCACACACTCGACAGGGCCACGATGAAACCGAATCAGAACTAGAAAAAAGGAACAATAGCAACAACAACAAAAAAACCTGACCTTGAATAACAAGGTCACAAAACCGTCATTAATATCATTTTCGGAACATACACATATCACAACGTTTAACAAAGCAACGAAATGACGATCTCATCTTACAAATAAACACATAAGCATAAATTTATCACGTTCACGATTCATAAATGAACTCAAATACAGCAAATACTTTTTTTTCACATTTCACTTGTATGAACCTTTCACACAGATTAACACTTAAAATAACATTGTTAACTCACCAAGACCACGGATGAACTTGACCGTTTTAATCCCTTGTAGCTCCAAAGAGCTCAGTTTCCACTCGGTCTTTCACTCATAACTCATGAAATTAGTTTCCAATCGAAAATGTCCTTTGCTTCTGTGTGAAACACTTTTAGTTATTGGGTTAAACGAGGCGTCCTCTCGGCAATCGCCTGCTACCAAACCGATTTAACCCTCCTATTATCTTTGGGGTCAATTTGACCCCATTCAATGTTTAACGTCTCTAAATACATGGTTGACATAATTTTTTTTTGCTTCTTATTTAATGACTTTTCCTAATTTAATGGGGACAACAGGGAAAACATAAAATTAACATGATGATATGTTCTCAATGTCCTGTACACATTTCGTAGCATCAGTGTTCCTTGGGGTCAATTTGCCCCCAGGCTGTTTTCGCTGTATAAATCCTATAAGAAAGATCAAAATTTTACACACATTTGTTTTAGACGATATTGAGGAGTCACTATAACATACAATTTTATAATCTTCAAAAAACTTCCTTCTGCTTTAGGGCCCTAATCTAACATAACCATAGCTGTAGTACTGCGAGAAACCACTCATAGTTCACGTGACAATGGGAAGGGCAAAACACAGTTCTCATGAGGACACTGATAGTTCACCCAACATAGGGGAGGAGCAAACGTATAAAAGCTTACACAGAAGCCTTCTCTAAAATTTCTCTTGGTGCTCTGTGGGCTCTTTTTTTATGAAAAAAAAAAAGATTGAAAATGAATTGAAAATGACCTTTTAGCAAAGGTTTTCTGTCAATGATGTTTTATCACAGTTCTTTGACAGTGTAAGTGACATAGGGGAGAATGAGGATAATGTTGAGGAGGACACTGATTATGAGGCATCCTCCTCTGATGAGAATGATACTCTTAGTGTTGACCCTCCTGCTGCCTCTCAACCACCAGCAGACACATTACCTTCCAAAAATGCAAAGTTATTATGCTCCCTCTCCCCACTTGAACGGCAGGGTAGACTTAGTGCTGTTAATCTCATCAAAATGGCCCCAGCCCCACCAGATACACTGAGGGTGGTATTAATGGCTGAAAGACTGAATGGTGATAAAATTACATGTGATAATTTTTCACATCGTACACCCTGGGTGAGGAACTGCTGAAAAGGAGGGTTATCATGTAGGGGACAATGAGAAAAAACAAGCTGGAGCTTCCATCTGAGCTTCTTGCAATGAAGAACAAGAAGGTATCATCTTCAAAGTTTGCCTTCACTGATGGAGCCTGTTGTCTCCTATTGCCCCAAGAAAGGGAAAAATGTCCTGCTGATGAGCACCATGCACAAAATGCTGCTGTCCTGAGCACCAGAAAAGACAGGAAACCACAAAGACTAAGGGAGGGGTTAATAATCTGGACACGGTCACAGCCACCTACAGCTGCCGATGCATGACCACCCGTTGGCCCCTTCTGTTTTACAAATAAAAATGTTTGAAATTGAGTTTGTTTTTCCTGGGGTCAAATTGACCCCGGACATAATACATGTTACTATCCTTGATAACAAATTGTTCTTCTTTCCAAATGTTAATAAAAATCTGTACTTAGAAATAATATAAAGCCTTTCAAAAACCAAAAAGATCTTTCTTTCCAATTATAGGTCAATTAGTGAGATTTTATGGTGAATTGCGAAATTTTCTATAATTGGGTAGTTTGGGTAACAAACTTGGGTAAAAATCATATTCTGGAGGTTTAAATTTCTGGGGTCAAATTGACCCCAAGGATAAAAGTTGTTAGTAATTTTGAGGATAATAGGAGGGTTAAGTCCCTTTTTACATCAAACTTTGCTTCTAGTCTCGATACATCTCTGGGCGAATATCGCTAGGTTTTTTAATCAAAATATTTCTACCTGATTAATCAAATTCTTACATTTTAATCGGAGAGACCTGAAACGCCTCCGCTCACTTCTGTTCTGCCGAAGCAAGAGAGAGAGCACGCACTAACCGCGTGCGAATTCCAGAAAGGAAAAAAAAATGCTCTATACAACATTCTCACTTGTGATTGGCCAATTCTTCAATATACAAAATACTCTTAATGGCAGCTTCAGAACTCATGAAAATAACTACTCCCAGCTCAGTTGAGTGTTGGTAACCTGGGTTACAGTTTTTATTCCTTCTTCACTTCTTCAACACTGTTTACTTCTTTGATGCCATGTAATTGTTCATTGTACCATGAGACAAATCTTCAAACGATACTTTTTCTTCTCTTACAAGATGGTGCTACACAGTGCAGGGCAGACCTCATGAGTTATGGTAGGTGGTATAGGTAATGACTGCTTTGGCTATAGATATAGTATATAGTCTATAGATATTCCCCCTGTTTAAGCAAGACCTCAAATACAGCTTAGAACACAGGGACTGTCAGTATCTTGCTACACAGGTGCCAAAGTCAGAAATAGATCTACTGGAACCAAACCCAAGTCCAGAAATGGACACAAAATGAAAAGGGGGCACTTTCCAATGCATGAACATTATATCACCAACAACAACAACAATAATAATAATAATAATAATAATAATAATAATAATAATAATAATAATAATCTTTATTTATATAGTACATTTCATACAAAAAAGCAATTCAAAGTGCTTTACAAATATAAAACAGCAAACAAATACAGTAAATGCAAAAGATATAGTATTTAATACAAGAAATACTTAAATAGAACATACAAGATGTATGATTAATAAATAATTTTAAAAAAAAATAGAGGAGAGGGAGGGGTGAATTCTTTACATATTTATATATTTACAACCAAGAATTAGTATATATAGTGCTATTGCTTATTTTCAGTAACACCAGACAAAACGTCATAAATGGTAGCAATACCTCCATGGTGTCCATGTGCATAAATGTGCATAAGGGTTATGTTTATAAATATATTCAGCTGCAGTACATGTTTCTGGTTTCAGTCATATTTCTGTAAAGCTGAGACAAATCCCTGAGTTCTCTGGGATAGGCTCCAGCTTACCCCGCGACCCTGTGTAGGATAAGCGGTACAGAAAATGGATGAATGGATAGTGTGTATATATATATATATATATATATATATATATATATATATATATATATATATACACACACACAGTGTATTCAGAAAGTATTCAGACCCCTTAATTTTTTTCACAATTTGTTATGTTGCAGCCTTATGCTAAAATGCTTTCAATTTTTTTTTTCCACATCAATCTACTTACAGATTGATTTCCTTACAGGAAAACTGTTATTAATCTGATTAATATGTATAGATAACACATCAGAGCCTCCACACACACAGACACACATAAATGCAACAACAAATACTAAGAAGGCCCCTGATTATTTCTATCCCTCAGCCTCTAAGGCAGACAGACACACATGTTGCCAAATAAATATTAGATAACTCACAATATGCAAGATTAAAGCCATGCAAGATAAAAAAAAAAAACAAAAAAAAAAACAATAACCCTTAGATATTGAGTTTTGTAGAGTTTTGTTCTGCTGATTTTCTGATGTCTTGATAATAAAATGAATTGACCTTTCAGTTTCTAACATAATTTGCCTGTAGGCTCTCGGGCTTGACCATGGTCTTGTTTCATACTATGCATTCATGTAGTTATTAGTGTTTATAATTTTCTCTTGTGTGGGCCTGAGAACAGACCCCCCATGTTCCACCAACCCTAAACAGTCCGGGGTGAGAGCATTGCTATTTTCTCCACACGAATAAATGATTGCCCTAATTACATCACATTTAGCTGCACCAGAAATGTCAAAATGCAAAGTGAAAAATAAAATGAATTTGTTTGAATAATGATACATTTTAGTCAGATTCATTTTTAACTGAGAGTTTTCGAGTGAGGGTGGAATGAGGGTTGAGGTGCCCTGCGCTGTGTCCTCCAAGCTTTGAAGCAAATGAATGTGAGTATCCACATCAGTGGGCTGTCTACCATGATTACCTGGACAATCTCCATTTCACCGTTCCACGGGCTTTCTGTACACCCAAAGGTTATTCCATTTTAAAGGCCATATATATAAAGAACGTCTGACTGAAATCTGTCTTTCTTTTTTATCTTCATGAGTGCAGCAGGATCGAGCTGGCTGAATGGAGGTGAAGGTCGTAAACAGGAGCCTATTTGCCACTGCTGATAATGCCAGCAATAGTGCAAGTCTGCTACTCCTAACACTCATGCAGCATTGCTTAGGAAATGATTTTTTTTATTTTTTTTTAATAATTGACGCTTGATGTGGCTTTCTTTGTTGTCTATCTTGAGGA